TTCCAAGATTTTCAGTTATTTGTGTTATTGTTTCAAGGCGAGGTAGATCAGGTTCTAGTTGGCGGTTTAGGATTGAGAAAATGAATAGTTGTTCGTCTTCATCATCAGAGGTAGTCGTTGATATAAGTTGGGCTGTGTTGTTTGTTGGGGATATTGTGTGTAGATCATAGGAGGCTAATGATGTTGGAAATGATTCCACAAGAGAAATGTCTTCTATAGCGTTCACCGTATACCCGGCTCGCACGGTTCCGCAAGAGCTAGCAACACTCAGATTAGACGTTAGAGGGTTGTTTTTGTCTAGCTCTTCTGGGTCACTTACAAATTTTATATAATATGGTAATTTGAGTATTATTTAATTTTTATTTATTAAAAGAGAAAATTCCATTATTATACATGAAAAATTCTAATCAGTTTATAAACTGATTTGATAGTATTTACAAGATTAAAATATATTAATAATTATGAAGAGTAAAAATCTATAATTTTTGTCTGTTTTTTAACAAAAGGTTTAGATATCGAAGAAGAATCTTCTAATTTGTATTTTAGCACATTGTGAGAAGTTGAAGAATGATTAAAGAAAAAATTTGTAATTAAAAGTTGTTTTTTATATTTATCTGTGTCATATATATCTTTGATTTTTGCCAGAGCTTGTTTTTTATCACATGATAACAATGAAACACAAATATCATGAAGACTGTTGAAATAGTAAATGATATCTATTTCTTTATCTGATGTATACTTTTTTGCTAATATCATTTTGTGTAATATGCTGTCTTTTAAATCTATATAAAATAATATATAATATTCGAAACATCTAGAAACTAACTTTTTTTCATTCTTCTATAAGATTCGACAAAATTAAAAACTATTATATTTCCTTTTTTAAAATCACTAGATTGTTTAAACCCACAATGTATATTAATAAAATTCTGAAATATAATCTTTCTAAATGTGGGATCGTATTTTGTGGTTAATGTAAATAATTGCAGATCAAGTGATTTAACTTGTATATATATTTATAAATCACTTCTTGAGCTATCATATCTAGTGATTTAAGATGTGATTGTAATAAATATTTTTAAGCATCGAACCCAAAACAGCTCCAGATTAAGTCAGTAGCCACTTTTTTATAAAGTAGAGATACATTACATTTAACAATTTTCAAACCTTGATTAACAATTTTGGGGTGAAAAATTTGGTTTATGCTTATGAACAATGCCAAGTACTATTTCTTGTAAAGAAACAAAGATGAATGAAGAACCTTCTTATATGGCATCTCAATATATAAACTACTATTTATTTGGCACATATATTTATTTATTGTACTTTTAAATTGTTTCATAAATGAGATTGATTTTTCTATTGATTTTTGGTAGTGGAGCTGTTTGTTTTGTATATTCTTGATCTATCTTAGAAAAATATTGTTTGGGTATCATAATAAAAACTGAATCTGTGTTATTATAAATTATACAACATTGTTGCAATTCTAAAAAAGAGATAACTTTTTTTAAAGTTTTATATGAAAATGCTATAACCGATGATGCTATTGTTTTTTTGTAGAATGAAGAGTAGAGATATCTTATTTTACTATATGTTGAATTTGCCAGTACCTTTAATGCATTGGACTTTGATAAGAAGTATGCTAATTTGACAGGATTATTTTTATATTCTTTTATTAATCTTTTAGCCTTAGCATGTTCTTCTAATAGCTTTTTATACATCAATAGCATTAACACCATCTTTTCTTCTTGATCATAGTAAGGTTTAAATTTCATGATTATTTGATTATTATCGAAGATTGTATTTAGTGATAGATCAGATGAAGTGGTAAGAACTTCAGTTTCCAAAGAAATGTTCATTGTTATAATTGTGGTCAGATACATTGAAGTGAAATCAAGATCTGGCACTAGACAATTATTTATATTTTTACAGGGAATAATGACTAATCTGGCTTGATATTTTTGACTCAATTTGATAACCTCTTTATGATTCATCGAGATTAGAATATTTCATCTAGTGGCAACTTGTCTATAGAGATTACGAACTAAACAACCAACACTATTTGTAAAAATATTTAATATTGTTGTACATGATAAAGATGCTAGTTAAATATAGACTTGTATTATATTTCTTTTTAATAATAGTTCTTGACATTGTATAGAATCAATTAAACAATAATATGCTATATTAATAGCATAATATTCAAGTAGAGTGTTGTTAACCAAGAATTGTTTTAAGCATTCAGTATAATCAAGATTTTTTAATAAAACTAATTGAGCAATGAAGTCTTGTAGTTTTGAATATTTGTTTAAATTTTATCATATTCACATAAATAAACATTGATTTGAGATTAAAGAAGTTAGTAAGAATATATGAAAAATCAATCTTACCCTCAAGACAATATCATAACAAAACATCATTGAATGTATTTATAATTTTGGTAGAAAATGTTTTTTTGACTCAAACTAATAGATCTAAAAAAATTGTTTCTGATATATAATAATATTTATATATTATTTTCTTATTAGGATTTACTTTGATTGAATAATTGTTTATATTAAAACTAGCAAATTCATATTTTTTCATATCATTATCCAAATTATGTGCAGCATATCTAACTTTAGTTTCTCGAATATTTAACATGATATCATATATTGTACCAAGAAGAATATTGTTGAATTTTTTGACAAGGTTATGTTGTTCAACTTTTTTCAATATGAAATTCTAATCATAACCACCAGCATTGTAACCTAACTCTAAATTAGGTTTAAAATTATAAAAAATTTGGGCAAATCCTAACAAAAGACCAATTTCTGTATCAAATTGAAGAAAATGAAAATTATCAGGTGAACATGTATCGTATTTCGAGAAAAATAGTTCTCAATGGTTGTATATCAGAATCCCGATACACAAAATCCCGACACATAAAATCCCGGCAACAAAATCCCAATACACAAAATCCCGACAAATTAAAATCCTAAAAATATTAAAATTAGGAATTTA